TTGGGGGGCTGGGGCACCTGCTGCACACAGGTTTTTTACCTTCATGCATTTTATGCATGAATGTAAAAAAACCTTGAGCCTTTAAAACCACTTTATTTTCACTTTAAATATTATTAACTAAAAGAGCCATTTGAGGAGGGCAGAGGGATGGTCCCTCCAAATGAGGAAAAGTCTGCATATCACAATTTACTTCTAATTCAGCAAGAATCCAAAGCATATTTCAATGCTAACTACTCTTTCTGTGTATGTTGATGATGCAGAGATCACTGAAACCCATAGCAATCATGCAGAAGCTTTCACTCATCCAACTACAGAAGCTTTCACTCATCCAACTACAATGAACGAAAATGTGATTGGTCATTGTTTACATTGCTTTTCAATAATGCTGTGTGAGATTTCATGTGAAATTCAGATATATCCCTGAAAGGCTCATATGAACTTTGTTTTATATTTTGGTTCATTGCCCATAGCTGGTAATAAATTGTACACTTAAACACAGGTCAAGGTTTTAATTATGCAATATAATATTTTTTATAACATCCACTCTTCACACTTTCATTTTAATTTGTGTTTTCAATTCATGTACTATTTCAACATAATGTATAGTCAAAGTTGGCTAGTAGTGCCATGTTTTATTGGTTTTATATAGCAGGGAACCTCTGCCAGGTTTTTATTGCTATGCATGTCCTTGATGAGTTTTATGCCTTGTTACTGTTCTAGTAGAGGGATATGTTACCTATTCCACTGGCTATGTTCCAGTTAGACAGATTCTGCTTGCTACAAGGGCAGGTGTACAGTATGCTGCCTCTGGGAACCAATCAAAATTTTTGTTTCATTCTCAGACCTGGACTTCAAAAATTACAATTGAAAGGCAATTTGTTGACATTTTTCCTATAGAATACTTTTCATATATCAGCTCTTTTCCAGCCCCAAGACAACAGAATAGGTGTGGAGAGATCTCACCAACAGTATGCAGACAGAAATAAAAACCTATATAAATGAAAAATAGGGCAAACAACACTGGGGGTATGCACTGGCTTTCCACTCCAGTTGGTTGCATAGAAACACTTGGGAGAGACATTGGGTTAAACTGTCGAAAAGGTGAGAGGACCTGAGAGGTCCCTAAAAGCAAGTCCAAACAGTAGCAGGTGGAATATATGTGATTAAGAGGTATACACTAGTGCTCTGAGTAGCACAGATACATGTGAGTGCAAAGATGTTTGGCTTTTAATAAAGAGTTGTTTTTAAACAATGGGGTTGACATACAAAAGGCAAATAAACCATTCACTTTGCATGGGAATTTTCCTTTAGCTTAGTAAATATGGTGGAATTTACTTTGCAAAAAATACAAAAGGAAAACTTAATAGTATTTTTGATTGCACATGATTGTATGATAGGAGTAAGTAGAGCTTCACCTTGTTCTCTAAGCTAAGGGACAATTCCCTTGGAAAGTGAACAGCCTATTTGCCTTTACTAAATGAACTCTAGAGTCACACACTAACTGAAGCCTTTTTATTCTATTTTCTTCTACCACACTGCTGATATGATTTCCTAGTTGTAGAGAAGGTGGAGTAGAGAAGGATTACTAAGGTGAAAAGCTTTTTAGGCTTTAATTAACACAAAGGTCATTTACCTGTGGAGGGACACTTATGGGAGCTATGGTGTGGGGTATCATAACTAGGCATTTTGTTTTAGTACCTGTTCTCCGCGATCTGTGCATGTTTCCATTGGCACGTTCAAACCACACTGCACTTGTGATCTGCTGCCAGTGTTAATGTTAAGTTAACAACATCCCAAATGCAGGTCACAAATGCTATGGATTTGACTGCAGTGGATTGCATGGTATAGAAGTACCATGTGATCCAGTGGCAGTGCGCTTGGTTTTTTTTTTGTATAACAGATATACTTGTAGTAATATCAAGAATAATAATAACAACATTTTATATTAGAACAGAATAATTATTGCACTTTCCTGGGCCACATTGGAAGAAGAGGAACTGTCTTGGGCCACAAATAAAGCACACTAACAATAAGGATAACTGATGAGCAGAAAAAGTCAGGCAGATGAAATTAATGATCACTGATATAGATAATGTACCTATATGTGTAATAAAGCTTTATTTTATTTGTAATATTTTTTATTATAAAAGTAAAAGAGGCCAACTTAAAACGAATGTGATAAACGTATGCTTCAATATCTGGTTCGATAGATAGGTAATTCTAAATGAATTCTCAAGGTGCTCACCAGATATTTTTCGTTCTAATTTTGACCTTCGTGTGATTCATCCTTTATAAATAGTTGTTTACAAATATAGGTGCTGCCGAAAACTGATGACATGAATAAGGCATGATTGTGAAGAGTGGGAGATTTTTCTTTGGGAAGATAAACATATAAACGTTCAGTAAGAGACACTGCCAAACTTTCTTCAGCTGCATGTGTTCTCTAAGTGTAAAGACATTTAAAAAAAAAAAAAAAAATTCCCCCCCAAAATTAAAATTTTTAAGTTTACAATTTTGCATTGATAGCCACCTTCGGATGCATGCAGTGCATGGGCCGCAGATTGGAAACCCTTGCTCTATAAATGGATTTAAAAGTTTTGAGACAATACATTTTTTTCTGGTTTTATCAAATAAAACATCACAGGAGAACAGTGTATATTGTAGATTGCATGGCAACATACAAATAGTTTTTATTGCAATATGCAAGTTGTATCGCATGGTTATATCAGCAAATAAATGTAGGCTTTGTAGTTAATTGCCCCTAGCAGCCAAACAATCTGACAGAAGGCTACGTATATCTAACTCGCTCAACACAAAAAGTATATAAAGTAAATAAACATATTAACACAAAAGATAGAGAAGAAAAGAGAAAATACAATAGAGGTCTCCACCATAGTGTACATGGTGAAATGATAAAGATATACAGCATGTGGTGAGCAGGTATATACTATCGCGGTCTGTTAGTGTTGACCCAGTGTGACCACCCACAGAAATGTGCAGCATGTTCCTGTGCAATTCCTGGTGTGAACTGATGTAATTTCTTTTCAACACACAGTACATAATTGTTTCAATATTGGGTAGAGTTATTTGGAACAAAGTACATACATTTATTTGTGCATTTCATATAATTGTATTTAGGAAAACATGGATTGCCCTTAGATGTTTTGTGTCAAAAATGAACCTGACAGAGGTTCTAACTTTCATGTTGTATCCAAAAACTGAAAGTAAAGTTTTGGCTAAAATTCAACTTTACATTATATAACAAGGTAAGGCTATACTTCAACAATGGGCCCTGATGGTATTCATTCCAGAGTTCTAAGAGAACTTCGAGGTATAGTTGGACCATTAACTGATCTTTTTAATCAATCTCTTCTAACATGAGAAGTTCTCCATGACTGGAGGACAGCTAATATTCTACCTATCCACAAGGGGAGCAAAGTGGAAGCTGGAAATTACAGGCCAGTGAGTTTACCATTGGTTGTAGTCAAGTTAATGGAATCACTCCTGAAAAGAAGGATCATTGACCACTTAAAAACACACATCTTGCTGGATCCAAAGCAGCATGGCTTTACCGAGGGCAGATTATGTCAGACTAACCTGATTAAATTTTTTTACTATATTACCATTGTTTTGGACCAGGGCGGTGCTGTGAACATAACATATCTTGATTTTAGCAAGGCATTTGATATAGTTCCACATAATGATCTAATACAAAAGTTGTACAAGCTAGGACTTAGCCCTTGGGTGGTTCAGTGGATATGCAGTTGGCTAAAGGCTAGATACCAGAGTGTGGTTGTAAATGTGGGTCACTTGGAACAGAGATCAGTCACTAGTGGTGTACCACAAGGCTCTGTACTAGGTCCTGTTCTATTTAATCTATATGTAAGTGATATAACTAAAGGTTTGTTGGGTAAGGTATGTATTTTTGCTGATGACACAAGGTGTGTAATAGGGTTGATATTCCTTGAGGTGTCTGTAACATGGAACATGATTTGGCATTGCTAGAAGATTGGTCAAAAAAGTGGAAATTGCAGTTTGAGGTTTCGAAATGTAAAATAATGCACCTAGGGAAAAAGAATCCCTTGAGAGAGTACAACATTGGGGGTACAGTGTTGGTCAGCACTTCAGAGGAAAAGGACTTGGGGGTACTTATTTCAGATGATTGCAAAATGAGCAAACAGTGTGGCCAGGCAGTGAGGGAAAACAAATAGGATGCACCACTAGAGAGATCACCAGAAGGAGGCCCTGATTCCCCTATATAGATCTTTAGTTAGACCTCATTTAGAATACTGTGTCCAGTTCTGAAGACCTCACTTACAAAAAGATATTGATGAGATAGAACGAGTCCAGAGACGGGTAACAAAAATGGTGAAAGGTCTGGGGATAAAACATATCAAGAGCGACTTCAAGAACTTAACATGTACAGTCTGGAGGAAAGAAAGGAAAGGGGAGACATGATTGAAAACCTTTAAATACATCAAGGGGATGAATAAGGTTCAGGAGGGCAGTATTTTCAACACAAAACCAAAATCAAGAACACGGGGTCATGACCTTAAACTAACTGGAGGAAAGTTCAAGTCTAATCTCAGAAAGTATTATTTTACTGAAAGAGTAGTTGATGCTTGGAATACACTTCCAGCAGAGGTAGTGAGACAGTAAATAGCTTCAAAGAAGTCTGAGACAAGCATAGATCCATACTCAGACAAAATAGTTAAAACAAAAACCCCAAATAACCCCCCCCAAAAAAAAAAACAAAACAAAAAGAAACAGTAGAATTGATGGACCACTTAATCTTTTTCTGCTGTCACTTTTCTGTTTCTTACCAGATACACTTTTTTAAACTAATAGTGGCTTTGTCACCTTAACAGAAGAAAAAAAAAATCTACTGACAGATATAACATACAGGTGTTTACATTTTCCTGCATATACCTGAAGCAGCCTTCAATACCTCCTTTTGCCTGAATTTCATAAAATGTGCCCATCAGCATGCCCCTTATTTATGTTAAGGGGCACTCTGAAAGGCACATTTTATGTTAAGGAGCACTCTGATGGGCATCTTTTATGTTAAGGGGGCACAAATGGGCATATACTGTGGAAAGGGGCACTCTGATGGGCACATGTGATGAAAAGGGGCAGTCTGATTGGCACATCTGATGGAAAGGGGCAGTCTGATAGGGAAATATGATGGAAAGGGGTACTTTGAGTGTAAGGGGGCACTCTGACAGGAATACCTGATGTAAAGGGGCACTCTGATGGGGACAACTGATGTAAAGGAGCACTCTGATGGGCACATCTGATGTGATGAGAATACATGATGTAAAATTGCACCTAATGTAAGGAGGTCCACTGATGGGCACACCCTATTCGGACCTTGGCCAGAAGAAAAGTTTAGTGACCAGACCTTCTTGAATTTTAATTCAATACCCCTGATCTAGTGGCTCACATATCACAGTATCTGTGAATTCAAACTAATGGTGCTTATTCATTCATAATAATGTGAGACATCCCATTCATAATTCAACCCCAAAGGATTTCTAGTACCCACATAAAAAAAAAAAAAATTATCGTTCACATAATATCCTACATTTATCAACGCACACACCCCCCCACACCCCTCCTTTTAGAGACCACAATTTTTTTCCATTCCCTGTATAAATAAAGCTGAGGTATCGCCGGCATAACACTCATTAAAATGAAGAGCTATATTAGTTAAATGTTTCTTCTCTAGATCATACAGGTGAGCATGCAAGCAATGCAGTCCTTCAAAATAGATATTGGACAGAACAGAGACCACATGTAATGACATAAACCAGATTCTTTGTATTACAATTAATAAAAGAAGACATTTTATAATCCTTGCCACTTCGTGAGGAATGCACCATATTCCCTCTGTACATGTGAACAACAGGGACATTTGCTTCCTCCACACATTTAAAAGGTACCTCTAAATTGGTGCCAATGAGAGGATGTATTTCTCTTCCTGGAATACAGATTGGGAGACAAATACTTGGTGGGAGCTGTTCAAGAAACAACCCTGATACCTTTAGCTAATATACTGTATCTCTCAACACAAAATGTTAAAAGGGCACCGTCTTTTTATTTACTTTGCACCATGATCCACACCGATCACTGACTCTGTTCATTCATAACTGAGGCATGCGTTTATTACGCTTCAGTTTATGAATGGACAGGGAGCTCTGTACAGAGCTATTCCTGTCTATTCATTCTGTGCAGCTAAAGCTGCAAAGATGGAAATTGAGAGCTGTATCCTCAATCTCCTTTCTCTATCTCAAAGTTGGAACATCAGAGGTCTGTTTAGACCCATGCTATTTCACCAAAGCCCCCCAATGGGACACCTAAAAATATTGTAAAAAAAATTTTTTTAAATAAAAAATGGTAAAATATAATAAAAAAAATAAAGTAACAGAAATAAAAAACTGCTGACACCAGTGGTCAGGGGTCAGGGGAGCCCTTTGTGCTTTCTTTCACTGGGGCCCTGAAGGTTCTAATTACACCACTGCCATGTTGGCTTTGTATACAAAATTTCAAAGCCAGGGTTACATTTTCCACAAGTGTTTGTAATAGAATAATAACTGCAACATGAAACAATTTACTCCATGGCAATTAGCTCCTAAACAATCAGTGTGTCTAACTCACAAATTACGCTGTGTAGGTGGTAGCACAGCATAGGTGTCAGAAAAGTCATCTCCTGGAGGACATGAAGGAGGACCACTTCTGGCTAAAATAATTATTTAAGGGCTACACTTGGAGCAATAGTGCTGCATTTAAGATGATGATGATTTAAAGAAAACGAGAGACATAAAAAGAGTGTCAGGACCTGGATATGGATTTTGTTGTGTCTGGCAATGTCTTTTCTTGCTGAGCCACCTGGAATGCTTGGACAATTCCCTGGACAATTCTTTAAATGATCCTGCCTTGAACCTTGTTTGTCTTCAACCCTCCTCTCCTCCCATGAACTTTATTAAAGCCATGCCTTTGCCCTGCTTGTTTGCCAGATTATTGTGCTCCCTCCAATCAATATCTCGATCTTGTCAGTCCTGCTGCCATCCGTATCTCTGCTACCACTTGTTACCAACCCTTGGCTTGTTCCTCAACTAAGCTTCCGCTTGATGCCAACCTGCAACCACTTGTTACTAGCCTGTGGCTTGTTTACTGACTACGCTTCTGCTTATCCCTATCTGCTACTGGACACCGGCTTGCTCGCCTCCTGGTGGACTGACCCTGAGGACGAACACACAGCTAAATTTATCGTCATCATCGAGAACTCTGATGAGCACCAGTTATTACTTAGACTCCACACCTCAGGTGAGCCTATGTCATCCGCCAGAGTGACCTGTTTCTGTACTTATCCAGTTGGTTGGTGGGTGCCTTGCTACTGCTATAGCTACTGGTCTCTGAGCCTGACTTCAAAACGTGACAAAGATTGAGAAACAGAAAGCAGTAGAAGTCCAAAAATGTAACAGATTAATTTGTTTCTTAAATTATCTATTGGCAGTTATCTACTGTTATCTCAGAATTACATTAACTGGGAATGCTCAATAATATCATTAACTGATTCACTTTACTATATTCAATAGTTAGGTTGGGCATGGACAATGGTATTGACTGGTAAAAGAAGGCAAGTTATAATAGATTCGATGATGTTAATAAAAATACAGGACTGAGCTGATTAAAGAGATATAATATTACTGTTTATGAGTGCAAAGTATTTGTAATGACAAATTACTGAAAACTATCCACTTCTTGGAAATCATAAGATAAAGTACAGTACACAATACAAAGTTCACCATTGCCTGGCCTTCTCCTCAGTTGGCATGTCAAAAGGCAACCCTTTCACAATGTATTTGAACTTTCTAAACATCAATATTTAAAGATTTGAGTTTTAGGAGTTTGTGGTTAAAATAAAGCATCTGTAAAATATCTATTAAACTGTATGTTTTCTTTGAATTATTAAATGGATCATGTAAAATAAAGCTGTACTTGTAAAGAAGAATATAAACACTTAATTTCCTGTTGCTCAAGCCAGCAAATGCCACTGTAAACAAGAGGAATTGCCACTTAAAATGATTGTAAATGCTCATTTTTTTTTTTAAAATGAGCATTTACTCCATTGTTTCTCCATTGTTTTGTTGAATTACTTGTATGCTTTGGGTTATTGTCCTGTTGCATCACCCATCCTCTGCGGAGCTTCAGTTGGCGGACTGATGGTCGTACGTTTTCCTGCAAAATGTCTTGATAAACTCTGGAATTCATTTTCCCATCAATGACAACAATCCGTCCAGGCCCTGAGGCAGCAAAGCAGCCCCAAACCATGATGCTCCCTCCGCCATGTTTTACAGTGGGGATGAGGTTTTGATGTTGGTGTGCTGTGCCTTTTTTTCTCCACACATTGTTGTGTGTTCTTCCCAAACAACTCAATCCTGGTTTCATCTGTCCACAGTATATTTTGCCAGTAGTGCTGTGGAACATCCAGGTGCTCTTTTGCAAACTTCAAACGTGCTGCAATATTCTTTTTGGACAGCAATGGCTTCCTCCGTGGTGTCCTCCCATGTACTCCATTCTTGTTTAATGTTTTCCTTATTGTAGATGTGCCAACAAAAATGTTAGTATGTGCCAGAGATTTCTGTAGGTCTTTAGCTGACACTCTGGGATTCTTCTTTACCTCATGCAGCATTCTGCGCTGTGCTCTTGCAGTCATTTTTACAAGACGACCACGCCTAGGGAGAGTAGCAACAGTACTAAACTTTCTCCATTTGTAGACAGTCTGTCTTACCGTGGACACATGAACATCAAGGCTTTTGGAGATACTTTTGTAACCCTTTCCAGCTTCATGCAATTCAACAATTCTTGATCGTAGGTCTTCTGAGAGCTCTTTTCTGCGAGGCATGGTTCACATCAGACAGTGCTTCTTGAAACCAGTAAACCCAAAACAGGTGTGTGTTTTTTAAGGGCAGGACAGCTGTCAGCAACACATCCAATATCATCACACTGATTGGAGTCAAGGTTGGCTCACTCCTGGCTCCAATTAGCTCTGGGAGAAGTCATTAAGCTAGGGCCTCACATACTTTTTCCTCTCTGCACTGTGAATGTTTACATGTTATGTGCAATTAAACCATGGCAGCATCTAATGTTTGTGTAGTATTATGTTCAGCAGACTGTGTTCTTCTATTGTTGTGACTTAGATGACGTTCAGAGCACATTTTATGCCCAATTCATCCAAAACTCCACGTAATCCCAAGGGGTTCACATACTTTTTCTTGCAACTGTATATCTCGTACTTACCTGCCCAGTGCAATGGTTTTGCACAGAGCAGCCCCAACTCTCCTTTTTCAGTTTCCCTTTTGGTACTCCTGGCTCCTCCCTCCAGCTGAGTGCATTTATAGCAAGCAGCTTGCTATTGGGGCACTCATACATGCTAAATCCCAAACCTTGCTCTGTGTGTCCATAAGACACACAGAGCACGGTTCGGCCCCACCCCTGTTCCAACCTCACTGGCTGTGATTGACAGCAGCGGGAGTCAATGGCTCCCACTGATGTCTCTGAGCCAATGAGGAAGGAGAGATCCAAGACAACCTTTTCACTTGTGCACATCGCTTGATCAAGATCGGGCTCAGGTCAGTATGGGGGGGGGGGGGCTGGGCTGGAGCTAGATGCAGAATGTTTTATACCTTACTGCATAGAATACAGTAAGGTAAAAAACCTTAAGCCTTTAGAACCACTTTAAAGTCAGGGCAAAAACAGGAAGTGTGGATATTCCATGTCCCCATCTACACTAAGTGGTTCCTCCAGTTAACCCCCATACCACCAAACAACACAGACTGAACTGACTTCAGCAGGTAATTTCTCTTGATCAGAGAGGCTTTTGGAGGCATGGGCAGCAGGAGCGGTATCCAACTTCTACTTTACATGTTTCTCTTTTTAAAGCTGAACTCCAGATAGATATAAAAAGTTCAAATGTATGCAGCTACTGTATGTTATCATTAATACACTATTAAAGTGGAGCTCCACCCAAAAGGGGAAGTTTAAAACACTTGGGACACATGATAGGTCCCAGAAGACTATAGGACCATTCAGGAAGCGCAGCGCTACTCGCACATGCGCAGTGGGTACCCGGCTGTGAAGCCGCAAGCTGTCACAGCCGGGTGCCCACACTGAAGATGCTGGCGCCCAGGTAGAGAAGACGGCCGATAAAATGGGCTGCAAGGGACACACCACAGGACTGAGGGACAGGTGAATGTGTGTTTTTTAAAAGTCAGCAGCTACAGTTTTTGTAGCTGCTGACTTTTATTTTTTGACAGCGTGAGTGGAACTCCGCTTTCAATGTGTTTT